CTCTGGAACAAGACAACAATGAGGTTCCTCATGCAGCACCTATAGAGCAAACTTAACAACCTAAAGAAGTGCCATTAAGGAGATCCACTAGAGAAAGGAGAAGTGCGATTCTGGATGATTATATCGTCTTTCTCCAAGAACATGAAGATGGTGTAGGCTTAGAGGAAGATGATCCTATCAACTTCCAACAAGCCTTACAGAGTTCTAATGCTCAAAAGTGGATTTATGCCATGAATGATGAGATTAAATCTCTGAAAGACAATGACGTTTGGGATCTTGTCGAGTTGCCTAAAGGAACGAAACCCATAGGTTGTAAATGGATATTTAAGACCAAAAGGGATTCAAAAGGTAACATCGAAAGATATAAGGTTCGTCTAGTCGTCAAAGGATTCACTCAAAAGGAAGGCATAGACTACAAAGAGACTTTCTCTCCGGTTTCTTCGAAAGACTCTTTTAGGACAGTTAGGGCACTTGTGGCTCATTTAGACTTAGAGCTACATCAGATGGATGTTAAGACAACATTTCTCAATGGTGACATTGATGAGACGATTTATATGGTCTAGCCAGAAAACTTTGTATCTGGAGATTCAAAGTCTATGGTCTGCAAGTTAAAGAAGTCCATCTATGGTCTCGAACAGGCTTCCCGTCAATGGTATCACAAATTTCATCAAATTATCACTTCCTATAGTTTTGAAGTGAATGTGGTAGATGATTGTGTGTATCACAAGTTCAGTGGGAGTAAATTCATCTTCTTGATTTTGTATGTCGATGAAATATTACTTGCCAACGGCGATATAGACTTATTGCACAAAACTAAGAAATTTCTTACTAAGAATTTTGAAATGAGAGATCTTGGTGACGCTGCTTTTGTATTAGGAATTCAGATACTACGAGATCGCTCTCAAGGTATCCTTGGGTTATCACAAAAGGGCTAATTGAAAAGGTTCTGGATAGATTTGGCATGAAGAATTGTTCATCAGGAGATACACCCATAGCTAAGGGAGACAAGTTTAGTCTCAGCCAGTGCCCCAAGAATGAACTTGAGATAAAGGAAATGGAAAAGATTCCTTATGCATCAGCAATAGGAAGTCTTATGTATGCTCAAGTTTGCACTCGTCTCGACATAGCATTTATAGTGGGAGTATTGGGCAGATACTTAAGTAACCCAGGAGTGGATCATTGGAAAGCAGCCAAACGGGTTATGCGCTATTTGAAGAGAACAAAGGATTACATGCTCACTTATCGGAGATCAGACAGACTAAAGATCATCAGGTATTCTGATTCTAATTTTGCTGGATGCCAAGACAGTAAGCAATCCACGTCAGGCTATGTTTATATGTTGGCAGGAGGAGCTATTTCTTGGAAGAGTGTCAAGCAGACACTCATAGCTTCTTCTACCATGGCTGCAGAATTCATAACCTGTTATGAGGCATCTAATCATGGGATATGGCTGTGAAACTTTGTCACGGGGCTACGTATGGTTAACGGTATTAAAAGGCCGCTAAATATTTTTTGTGACAATAAATCGGCAGTGCTATATTCTAATAATAACAGAAACTCTACGAAATCGAAGCATATAGACATAAAGTTTCTTGTTGTTAAAGAAAGAGTTCAGAGTGGTCAGATTTCGATAGAACACATCGGGACAAACTCCATGCTTGCGGATCCGCTAACCAAGGGCTTAACACCCAAGGCCTTTCACAAGCACACTGCTCATATGGGTGTTATTTTATTTAAGGATACTATGGTTTAGTGGGAGTTAATTTTGATGTTCTATGACATAAACATTTATTTGTTTTTTTTTTTTGCAGAATAAAGAAGATGAATTTATAGTTTTATAGTTTTCTCTATGAATGTGTTAATTTTTTGTTTGCAATTTTTGCATTATGTTTTGAAAATTACATATTGATCTCATAAATAATAAAGCAGGACCAGTTTGAAATAGGCATGTTAGAGATCACATTACATGTAATTTCCATGCCACTCATCCATACTCGATCTATGTCATTGAATATGTAGGTATTGTGACCATGGAAGGTTTAGTTGCATTTTGATAGTGACAAAAGCCGCCATGATCCCATGCTAATATAGGAGATGGACCAGATTGTATCTTAAGTGGAGACTAAGGATAAATAACATACAGTTGTGCACCTAAGGAATTATGTATGATATAATTGTTTCATGAATCATATGTAGCCCAAGTGGAAGATTGTTAGGAAATTATGGGTGCGTTTGGAATTGATTCCAAAACGTTTTTGTTTTCTGTACGAAAATGAAAATGAAAACGTTTTTAGTTTCATTTTTGAATTATTTCTGAAAATGCGTTTGGTAGTTTTATTTAGAGATTAATTTCAGTTTTAAAAAAAACTGAAACTGCGTTTGGTGGTTTAATTTTTAAAAACATGTAATAATATATTAAATAATAATATATTAAATATATAATATTATTAAATATATTAAATAATAATATATTAAATAAACATCATTATATAAGACAAAAACAGTTTCAGAA